GTACTACAGTGGATAGCTTTATTTTCAATTTCAATTCAGTACTACAGTGGATAGCTTTATTTTCAATTTCAATTCAGTACTACAGTGGATAGCTTTATTTTCAATTTCAATTCAGTACTACAGTGGATAGCTTTATTTTCAATTTCAATTCAATACTACAGTGGATAGCTTTATTTTCAATTTCAATTCAGTACTACAGTGGATAGCTTTATTTTCAATTTCAATTCAGTACTACAGTGGATAGCTTTATTTTCAATTTCAATTCAGTAGTACAGTCGATAGCTTTATTTTCCGTTATCACTTCCCTGATGCAATAGCTCAACAACAAAAAAACAGTAATTGTGCAATGCAGAATTATTTCCTCTTGGTACAGCCAATAGTTATCATTAAATGTTCAATTCTAAATTATTATAATAATTATGTTCTTTCTGTTGCAATGCTGATAGGGCAGACTTTCCAGAAAATGTTTTGACTCTTTCAATAGTCTTGTATAATTACAAAACCCTTTTAATATTGTGCTGTGAACTCCACCCCTATTAAAATCCTTTGACCCACTGATGAAGCTTTTAGTCTGCTGAAACCTTTGATCATCATAGTAACACACAGCATCAGCTCAGCAGTGAGTACAGAGAAAGTTTTCTTTCTACAAATTACCACCCAGTCAAGTGACCACACTGAAACTTGTCACAGACTTTCTTTGTTGAAGACATGTATACATTAAAACATACATCTCTTGAAGATTGTGTGTGATTTAACAAATTTTCTGAATTAGGCTGAATTAGTGAATGGTTTAGATAGCCTTCCTATTTTTCATTCTGATTGTCTACAATTTCATTTCACATACAACACATTGTCTGCTGACATCTTTATATACCATTCAAATTTGAAAATAAGAAAGCTAAACTCAGTTAGCTAAACACAATTGGATTGTGCAATGAACATGTGCAAATGTTTTTACATAGATTTGTGGCGCCATTCTAGTCCTCTGTGATAAAGACCTGATTCTTATCCAGACCTTAGATTGCATTGATAGCACACTTAGATTACCAAATGACTGTTTTTCAAGGATACTTAAACATTTGCAAGATGTCAGTCTCATCCAGTGTTTTATCTAAGCCATCTGATCCAGTGTTTTATCCATGCCTCATTTGGGTTCAACTTACTCAGTGACCTCACCAAGTTGAGTAGTAGAATGTTATCAACTGAGCAACATTAAATTTATAAAATTAATATTTAAAATTACTCTGTGCCAAAATTGTTTAGAGAGAACACTGGTCTAAAGTGAAACCATATTCTGAAGTCTAAAGTTCTGAGGAGGCAAACCTTTCAAATTATATGAAAAAGCTAGATTCTGTTACTCAATATCAATGATTTGTCTACCACAGTGATTATGTCCTGTGGTCTTGACGACAACCAAATCTGATGGGGTCATGGTGGCAGGGTTTCAATCAAAATATTAAACTATTATTAACGTGATACAAAATATTATTAACTTCAAAATATAATTTATATTTTCCCCACTGTCTGATTGTGAGACAACTTTGAAACTTCAGTGGAATGCCCTGTGACAGCCAAATTTTTCCCAACAAAATTTAGGTGCAATATTTTGTACATTTTTTGTTAGTTTTGTACTTAGTAGAAATAATTCATTATTGGCTGGAATATACACCAAATTGTGCAGGTTTATTTTGTGACGATAGTCAGTGTTTGAAGGATTAAACCATTCCTGATGTGACGGTACTGGTGTACTTGTAACTACTGTAAAACATGTTGAAAAAGTTGTAGTAAAATGGCGTAATAGCGAAATGTTGATTTAGCGAATCTCTTTTGTCATTGTTGATTTCTTTGTTCGGCGGCCATTTTGAATTGATAATAAAGTCATCAGCGGCATATTGAATATGCGAATCAGTTCTCTCGCTAAATTCACGAAAAAGACATGTTTTACAGTATATTAGTTGTGCATACCATATATTGTATATATTGAAGAAAAATGAACAGAAAGGTTATGGAGTCAAAACAAAAGTCTATTTTTTGTCAAAATAAACATACTGTAAATACATTAATTATTTGCTGGTTTTTAATTTTGCTCTTTGCATTAATATGTGTAATTAGCTTATTAAAGTTAAATTCATGTGAACTTGTAGAATAACAATAAGTCATTGTTTTTCTGCCAACTTTAAATTAAAACCCTGTGAAATTATTCAATACATAAACAGTAAAGTACAACATTTGTTAAACAAATTTTAATAATGACTATTATTTCCATTTTGATTACCACATTAAAAGAGGAACTTATTCATGTAGAAATATATTAAAATAACAAACTGCATTCAGACAGAGTAACCATGGTGATATAATAGTTCACTGCTGGACTCAAAGATAAATGGCTATCCTATAGATTTAGCTTTGACATTGTGTGTTCTGATGTTTAGTCTTAATGTCCTCATTATAAAGGTCAAGTTGTTCAGTCTGTCCCTGTCACATGAACTTGATATAAACCTGGAAATGTTTTGGTATAAAACTCTGTAAGGTTAGACACTGACCTGAGACATTATTGAGAAGAAAAATCTTGTTATATTGCCTTGTGAACCATATGCCACTTGATTTAAAAGTTGTGGGTTGTATGGGATTAATTTGATAAATGAATTTCTTGAATAAATTGCAGAGAATATGGTTGTACTTTTTCCCTTCCCTCCATTAACCAATCAGAAAAGTTGTATTTCTTTTTTCTTTCTTTTAACTCCTACATTCAGTGCAAATGATGGTAACCAATTATGGATTGGTCAGTTTTTCACATGTGATAAAGGTTGTTAGCCAATAAGAATCTGGTTAACAAGGTTCATAAACATGTCACTCACCCAATGAGAATGAACTGTAATTTAGAAACCCATCTCTGATTGGCTAGAAATACTGTCAAACAGTTAAACCAATAGGAATGTTTCTTACAGAATTCTCACTAGTGCCAATAGCTTTACAATTTTCAGGAATAATTTTAATATTTAAAAAAAAATACAGTATTGACAGTTATTTTGTGTGCATTTCTTGCAGTCGATTTAGCAGTGCAACGGAACGCAGCGGTTCATCTAGACTAATGAGAAGCAGGCATAAAAGGCGTAAAAGGAAACCACGCATGCCTAGAGTCGCACGAGTAAGTACACTTTATGCCGGTCATATAAACCCCATCTCTGGCATATTGACATTGTTGTTTCTGAGTGAGTGACTGTGCTGCAGACTCGATGGGAAGGCTAAAACCACTGGCCAAGATTCATTCACTCACAAATTTGATATTGGGGAACTTTGGTTAAAGTGCCTGTGAATTGCCCACCAACACTTTTCCTGTTTCGGATTTGTGTTCCACTGAAATAAACAGTTATTGATTTTGTTGTTGAAAATTATTACTTGTATCCAAGTAAATTTGAGGTATTTCTCGTGTTGTAGTCACACCCATCTATCCTGAAACAGTCAAGTATTTCCGGCTCCAGCCAAAGTAAAAGTACTTCACCAAAAGTCAAAATATGAGAGGAAGCCATACTCTTGCGCTGTACTTATAAAATACTATTAACGATATATATTTTTCGGTCGGTTTTATAATAGTTTATTTTTGGCGGATGCACCATTGCATATTGTAATAGTGTGAGAATTTACACATTTCCAAACGATCTGAAGGTGTAACATCAGTGGACGAGCGGTGTAAAATCAATGAGAAAAAGTTGGGATAGACATTCTCCCTATACCATAGTACAGCAGATTCACTGAATAACTGTCCTGATTCATAAAAGAACAGCTTAATTAAACCTAGCACAGTACTAACACTTTTTAAAGAACCAGATTCCAGACAAGCGTATGTTCACTGCGTCAGCTTTCAGAAGAGAGTATTGTTGGGTAACTAAGTGTTTCATATGTTTTGGGAATCTGAATAATGTTTTGGAGAGGCCTTATAGTTTGTGGTTATGTAAAAGGTAGCAATAACATGATGCAAAAACTGAAGTGTCCAGTCAAACAGGAAAGTTTCTGAAATGTTTTGTGATTGGTGTTGAATGACGACTTCACACTACTGTGATCTTTTCTTGCAATTTGATCTGCGTAATAAGTGGGCTATCAATATTTTGTGACCAAGTAATTCTTAATGTGATGTCGTAATTATTCTAATATCCTCAACTTGAATAACACTTTTTGCTGTTTCGCTCCCAATTATTTTTGTTATCTAATCAAATGCAAAACACCAACTTCAATAGGTTGTTAATTCCCTCAAAGGCGGCTATTATTTAGTAACTGATTTATGAATCATCGACTCATTATATCATATATTTTTTATTATTTCTCTATTTTATTGATCACTATAGTTTGATGTTCATTAGAATTTTAAGTTTTTTCTTACTTGAACGATCGATTGAATACATCAGTGTATGAACATACCCAGTAACTTGACAAATAACTTCAAGACAAGCCAGATGATTTTGACAAACTTTGAAAACATCGACATGACATAGAGATCGTGAGAGTTCCATGGCAATAGATGTCGGCACTTCATACTGACTTCAACCAACTGCATTGACCACCATACAAGTGACTGTGATTGTAGTACGCTGTTGATCATGGCAACCAGCTTTGCCAGAAGGAACATATTTTGTATCTAATTCAACCATATACGATAAACTTGATATATTCTTTATTACACACTCTTTCCTGGGGAACAAGTACATAAGTGGCATATTAGTCAATGAGTAAGTAATGTCTGCAGAGTCAACTGATAATTTTATTGACATGAAAATAATTAAAAAAAAAAAAAAACATTTCATAAATTCACCGTGAATCCTTGACTAATGGGCCACAGTGGATTTTTCACTGCATATATACCTTTATTAATGATTACTTTCTTACTTATCATTAATATGTATTTGGAATGAAATCAAAACACCAATTCCTGGGAGAATAATTTCTGTGTACAAATAGAAATATCTATCAACAGTGTTAAAGTGGTAAGTTGGGAACTACAACAGCTGGATATGACTTGTCATACCATCAGTGAAAACACTGAAAGGTGGTTTAATTGTGTTAAATCTCAAAAGCGACTGAAATTTATATATTAAATTATTGCTGTACAACCTTATATGTGATTAATGGTATAGCATGTGTGTGATATGTGAATTTGAACTGTTTTCACTAGGCTGGTTGCCCTTATAATTGTTACACTATTACACATAGGTTCATTTCCAAAATCATTGCAGAAGGAGTTTTAGGAATTTGAAAATAACTCTGTGTAAGAATGACTTATTTAGAATAAGGGGCATATTAGTGCAGCCCTCATTAAATATCAAATGGTTGAGCCCTTACTGAATCTAACTATTGCTGTTGGTGACTCTTGTTGCTACTTTCTGTTATAAGATTTTACAACGTATCAGATAAATTAGAGATTAAACAACAAATAATTTGTTAGTTCAAACTACTTTACTGTCTAAGGAAGGGACAAGGTGCAAGATATGTGATTGAATGCATAGGCACTTCAGATTGTAAAATAAAATATGATTAATGAAGAAGTAAACCACTATACTATAGAATTTTGTTCAATCTATTATATAAACTCAGAAAAATTAGCGAATGTGTATATGAAATGGATTGTGTTATACCTGACAGGCAGTGGTTTATTTTCATTATATTACACCAACTTCATTATAAATGTAATTCCTAGACATGGAAAAAACGTACAGCACCTGAAAAGGTAAAACAAAAACAGGCCCTGCAAGTAGCATACATTGATTATAGATACATCAAGTGGGGAAGCAAATTCACCACACCTGTATTAGTTTTGCAACGTTTATTTTGAGTAGTTTTATAAAATTATCTCAGTTGACATCATTAAAAAAAATACACATGTCAAATGCCTGATTACATTTTGAGGATCAATAAAACTTCACGAACGAACCACTGCCAACAACAATCATTTTTGGCATCGTTTGCATAATTCTGAAACAGTAATTTTCGCATCCCTCTTTTTTTTCAATGTTCTTCATTGAAATCTATACTTGTATCACAAAATATTTTTTAACAGACAGTAGGATTATGAATAACTGATATACTGTGTATAATTTCTTGCATACACACTTTCTCCCAATCGGAACAACACATTCGGGTGATTAAGATGCTAGTATAATCTAATAAATGTTTTACAGGCATCAAGCTATTATTCCCTGTATTTGTAAAAACCATGAAGTTAAGAGAGTTAATTAATGCGTTTCTATCTTGTATATTTCATATACTTTCTGACATACTTATGTAATATTCTGGAATATGACATGCGGTTTTAGTGAATTTGCCTTTATATTTATATAAATGCAGACTTCGTGATGGTTTAGTTACATTAGCATAGATACAGGTTAGCCAATGTAGTCATAACAGCAATATAGTAGCCACCATATCAGACCAGTCATTGCTGGCCTTCCCTGTTATTGGTGTACATATAAACAACAAATAAATTGAAATACTTGAAGCAGAAATAAAAAAATATTAATTTAATAGAGATAAAACAAAACAATGTTGATTATTTTTGAACATGTCAAAGTTTACAGGGTTGTGGCAAGCTGTATAATTTAAGCCAGTGTTAAGATTACATAATATACAGTATTTGATAATTTGGGGAAGTTTATCAAAACCCAAGTTGACCCTTTCTCAGTTGCATGTGGGTTTTGTATACTTTTGGTCTGCTATCAATATCCTTGCCTAATGAGGCGTTCTTTTAAAGTAGATAGAATTTAAACTGGTCATGTGGGGTCTTGTTTGTTAAGAAAATCCCTGGCATATTTTTCCTGAGACAAGCTAGGGGTCGCTTGATGTCATTCTGGAACAAAATGGATGGCAAGCGTCGTACTCGATGTCGTCAACAGCATCATGGCAGTGTTAGTAGTATTTCAGCATCAAGTGTGAGTGTTAATTTTCTGCACTCCTGTAGGGTTCTTAGGAATCTTGATGAATTATTTCTGTTGCAGCTCTTCATCTTGGCAGTGAGAGAAATGGGCTTCAGCCAGTGTCAAGTTACATGTAGTTAAATCAGATCTACTATACTATATACATCCAACTCTTGTGAATATGGTTTGCATTTGTCATCTTTATCAAACTGGAACATTCCATCCACAAATAACATTTTGGGAGAGAAGGGAGGTGATTTGCATCCCTTGAAAGCCATCAGCTGTGTTAGGTCTTTGTTGTAACCATGGCAATACATGTATTTTTTTTAACATTTTTTTGTTCAATTTCAGACTTCATCTTTTAGCAGCATAACAGACTCCACAATGTCACTGAATATTATCACTGTAACACTCAATTTGGGTAAGTAACCTTTGACCTCTGACACAACCTTTGGTGTTGACCATTTCTGCTAGGAATCATCATATTGTAGTGCTTACATTGAAAATATTTTACCCACCAAAATGTTGTCATTGCATTGCATATTGTTTTCCCTAATTCTGGATTGAATGCTCATAATTTCCCATTGACTACTGGTTTTATGATTGATATCTGCAGTCTTATGGTTATGATACTTGGCAAATATAAAACAAAATCTAAAATATTATGATTTTCTAAAATAAATTCTGAACTGAAGAAATTAATTTCTTGAGTATCAGTATTTCTTATGAATTTTCATCATAAATTTGTTTTTGTCATGCAGATAACACCATCAAGAATATTTTTTAGGGGTAAATTTGGATCCATAATAAATGTACTTAATCGATTGACAACAATGAATTCTATAATAAAATAAAATTACTTTAGCTACAGTTTTGTGGGTGTTGGTAACTGAACAAGTGCATATATTAAAGAAAGCTCAGTTAGCAATAGTTAGAGTAATACATTGAAAAGAATGTACATACATTTAGTAGCCATATAGGTCACGTAATAACTTTGCTAGTTATATCCATTAGGTTGGTAGTGAACTCTGGTTAGGAACAACTGTTTACTAGGTAGGTGTAGCGAATGAGTAATATATTTAGCTCAGGTCAATCTGGTTTAGTTTTCTAGTAATACAAGGAATGTTATGTTTTCTTGCATACTGAGTTCATGTTCACTTAATCATATGTTTGTTGATATTACCAGTACATTCCTATCCCAGTGGGTTATACCATTCACAGTATGGGGGTTATACAATACTGCAGGTAGGGTAGTTAATAACCTGTGTTCCCACCATAAAATGTTGTAATCCAAAATCATACTTTCTGATCTTTAAAATGTGTTTCTGGATCCCATAAAGATACTGTAGGTTACATTCATTTAAAGAAAATTAAAATATGCATGTCTGATTATTTAAAGGGTTATACATTTAATATGGCTACTTTAATATTCAAGCACCAATAGAATCTGTCATACCGGTATGCAAATTAGCCACCATGGTTGGCTACAGCTAGGGAAAACACTGATTTTTAATATTAAATTACAGTTCCATTTGTAGATGTTTCTATATTTATCTCGTAAATTGTTTAATATTAAATCACAGTTCCATTTGTAGATGTTTCTATATTTATCTCGTAATTTTTAGCTCCGCTGTCGACTTTGTCGAGCGGAGCTTATCATATGAGTGATTGTCCGTCGTCGTCGTCGTCCGTGTCAATGTTTTACTTTTTCGACTTCTTCTTGAAAACTACAAGCCTGAATGCTTTGATACTTGGTGTATATGTACCTTGGGTAGACCTCTCTTAGGTTTGTTCATTTCATGTTGATATCTTCAATTCTCTAATTTTGGTGAATATTTTTGTCATTTTTGGTAAAAAGTGATATTTTCGACTTCTTGTTAAAAACCGCAAGTGCAATTGCTTTGATATTACATATATAGGTACTACATGTGGACCTCTCTCAGATTTGTTCATTTTGTAATGATATCTTTAATTCTCTAATTTTGGTGAATATTTTTGTCATTTTTAGTAAAAAGTGATATTTTCGACTTCTTGTTAAAAACCGCAAGTACAATTGCTTTGATACTTACATATATAGGTACTACATGTGAACCTCTCTCAGATTTGCTCATTTCGTGATGATATCTTCAATTCTCTAATTTTGGTGAATATTTTTGTCATTTTTGGT